CCTGCTCAGATCTGATCCAGCTCTAGATCTGGCTGGGAAAAGGGATGATACTCAGACCTTACATTCTGTTTGTCATTAGCTGGCAGAAGAATGAGCCAGAACACTTGCAGTTTCACAGGTAGTTGCACCCTTCTTCTGGCTACATTATGGTATTAGAAGCACAGATTAAATTTCTTCTCCTTGTTATTTTGGTGTTAACTCTGCTGGGACTTGGCAGTGTGGAGTTAGAGAAGAATAGCTGTTTCTCTGGATACTGGAGGATGCTGGAGTGTAGCAAACSATTCTTTTTTTTCTTCCTGTTCTAGGCACTAAATCCTTCTATGGCAAAGCAGCACTGTCTCTATCCACAGCATTCACAAATATCATTTTCATCGGATGGTCTAGTACAGTTGGCTATAAGGCTTTCTGCTCATGTCCCATCTTCCCAGCATACTTGACTATATACATATGCATATATACACACATAGATGCACGGATRTATATATAAGTGTATACATAAACATATCTATAGTGTGTCTATATACGTGTATGTATAAACATATATATATGTGTGTGTCTATATATATGTGTGTCTATATATGTGTATGTATGTATGCGATATCTATATATGTGTAAGTATAGGTGTATATAGGTATARGTGTGTAGTGTGGTGAGAGGCAGGCTGTGCAGCTAGCTGTTGGAATACATGGCTGTAGGAATATGAATGAAGCCATGGAGTGCACCGCGGATTTGGCAGGCTTGGTTGTGTTTAGATGGTGTCTAAGGCCCCATGAAACAYTGGCTATTAATCTCCTGTTGTTTCCCAGATTGTGTTCAGAGTGAGCCAGCGATGCTGTGCTTGAGCTTTGCAGGCTTCATCTAAAGCTATCTTTTCCTCCTCAGACATCCACTGCAGTCCTGCTATGCCTGTCTTCAGAAATCAGTCTCCCTTTTCAGACTGGCTGATGTTTGACTACTTCAGACCCACTTTTCCACCGTGATTATTATCTCTTTTTCTGTTTGCTTTCAGTCTGTTTTCTAGTTCTACAGCTACATCCACAGTACAAGGAAGAAGCAGCTGTCAGCACAACAGGCCACCTCACCCTGAGCTCTTCCTGATACCCCAAGCAAAGTACTCCAGGATATCGTGGGGTCTCACTCCAGCTGTGTCGCAGGGAAGGCTTGGAAGTGGCCAAGGTTGCTCCTGAGGTCTATCTTGAAGGTCTCCTAACAGCCTCAACAAGAACAATCAGCAAGTCACAGGGTGAGGAGGATTTTGCTCAGAGGAACTCTTGGAAATAAGAGTTCACAGCCTGTACTTCTTGCCCAGGTCCCTTTTTCCCCTTAGCATACCTGAGGGACCTGCTGAGCTCCCCTCAGTGCCTCACTGCTTTGGTCCCTGCTCCTCTCGGTGCCTCCTTGGAGGTGCTGTAGATGCAGCCAAGTCCCTGCTTGCTGGGGAAACAAGCGTTTCATAGGAAGCCTGCTGGTGATGACAGCTGATTATTAAATGTCATGTCTAAGGCTTCCTTTTATCTCATCTTGTAGAATCCAGCAAAGCTCTCCAATGCCCCTTGGTAATACGGAAAGGAAGTGTCAATAGAGTAACAGCTGCTTTTCTGATAGCAGGCTGACAACGCTGCGAGTACACAAGATCCTGGAAGGAAGTRGCTGCTCATGCCATGTGGATGCAAACTGTGAGCCTACACAGAAAAAACTAAAAAACTCACTCCCCGCGCCAACCCCTTGTTTCCATGTAACATTAACTTTTGAGGGCAAGTATTAAATACATTTGCTGCCAGGAGCTGCTCTGGCTTCCCGTCTTCCCTGTGAAATTCCGCCGAGCTTACTCCAGGTGAGCTACTGCTGGATTAGTAAAACTTCATCCAGGAAAGAAAATAAAAAGGCCAAACTCACAATATTTCTTCAATCTTGCTTCCCGCAGAAGCCAAAGTGGGTTAGTGTGAGGTGGACGAGAGTCCGCATTTCTTTAGAAACTGGTGGTTACTTCACATTTATTGTCTGTCACAGCCTTTCTCTCTGTGCTGTGGYAAAATGGACTCAGTACGCTGGTCAGGGTGTTGGTTATTGCCCTTGTAGTTCAAAGAGCTTGAAACTGGGCTTCTTCAGAGGAAAAAAAAAAGACAAATCAAGGCACCATTGACCACCATTCCATGTTTTTGTGCATAATCACCTGATCTGAAGCAATGGGGAGCACAGGCAACTGGGAGCTGTGATGATACAGCAAAAGATCATTGCCTTTGAGCAATAAAGCTGATGAGGATGAAGATGTGTGCTGTGGAGCACTCTGAACTCCCTCTCAGGAGGATCCTTCTACCTGTCTCCCTTCCTAGAGCCCCTTCAATGCCTTGGGTCTGGCCCAGGGCTGCTAATACAAGTATTAGTCTGGCAAAAGGCTTCATTAACAGATTAATAGCCTCAGATGAATTTGGCTGCCTGAATGATCTATGACAACAGAGCTTTAGGTTTTGCCTTTCCTTCATATTGAGTTTCATACTTACTTTTCTTTGTACAGTTTAGAGCTTATTTTTAGCACTGCTTAATGGACAGCTGGTTTAAGATCAAACACATCTATAAGGCAAAAGAGTATATGACTAAAGCTAGAAAATTGCACCTCATTATGTCAGACAAAATTATTCTACATTTGGAATATTTGGTCTAGAGAACTCAAAATTCTTCCTGCCTTGGTTCCTAATTTCTAGGAGAACCTGGTTAGTTCAAAACATGATTGCTCATCAGGAGAAACTTATTTCCTTGATTTGCACAGAAGCTAGAACAGATCCACAGATGTGATAATCAATGCAAATTGTGGCGCCTGAATGTGCTAGTCCTAGGTCTTGAAGCACCAGTTTCCGCAGAGGGGTGAGCAGGGCTAAGCAGCCAGGCTGGAGCATGGGGCCAGCACTGCTGTTCACAGTCCCCAGCACCCCTACACAATGCTGCATAGATGCCCCAGCCCTTCCAGAGCATGCTGATGTCTCCAACACGGCACAGCATGGCCCCATGCAGACCTGCCCCCTTAAGTCACCATTTCAGCTGTGGCTGAAACACCTCAGCTGGACCCATTTCATTAATTTCTGAACATACATATCAGGGACTAGTTCAAAATACAACAGAAGAAGTGCATTGGTTTCATGGACTGAGACAACCTGCATGTCTGTGGAATTCCATGCATGTTTTACAGCTATATTGTTGTTCTMATTACAAAAAAGAATGCCATGAGAGAAGACACTTTCTTGCAGGAAAGACGGTAGACATAAGAATGGACAAAGGCTAAGAACAGCTCTGCAACAGAACCCTCCACGAGGCCTGAAGTGTCAGAGAAGGAAGGGGTTCCCACGACCTTGGTTCTTTCATCACCAACCAACTCAGCCAATTCTGGCTTTGTAAACACTGGTAGTTTTTCAGACACTGTTTTGGACTACCAAGCAACAAAACACCTTTAAATGTCCGCTGTTTAATGGCACCTGGCCATGGAGGACAAGGGACTCAGTCTCTCAGGTGTCAACTTGATGAAGTAATGCTGTGGTACCTGTAGACCTAGAGGTATCGTGGTGCCAAGCAGGCTTCTTCTGCAGCAGCTGCTATAGCACAAAGAAACCACTGGCCTCTTATCACACAGAGGTACTTTCATGACATGCTATAGTCTTTGCAAGAGATATTGCAAACATTACATCTTTTCTGGCCATGAGGTTTTAACTCATGGGAATTTCCTCTGCATGAACACGTGGACTACATGACGGTCACAGCTGCAGAAAGGAACTGAACCCAGAAGAGGCTTTAGATTTATATATATATATTATCACCCAAAGAATATTTGAATATTTCATATCCTATGGAGAGGCTTTGACAGGACAGCTTCCAAATGTTTTCCTCAACCCCCACCTCAGTAATCTCTGGGACAAGCAATGAGGCAATCCCCAAAGGCTGAGTGGAGATGTCAACACAGTGGGGCCTTAGGTCAATATCTTTCACAGGAGACATGGAAACCTTAACCACTGGACCATGCTTGAGAAAGCCAACAGACCCTCTCTGCTTTGTTTTTGTGGTTGATGTCTACCATTGTTCAACATGAGACCATAAAATCCAAAGCATTTCATTTAAAAGATGCCAAAATTAACTCTTCTGAAACTTCAGGATGCTACTTGCCATCTTATTCCTTAGAACCTGAATTCACAAACAGTACAAATCACCCTGGCATGACTTTCTTTTAAAGATAAATGATTCGGCAATCCCTTATTATTATTTTCCTCCTACCTCCCCCAAAAAACCCTTCCAAATCAGACCTTTAGACAAAAACCACAGAGTTAGGTATGAGAAAGGATGCATCTATTTTGAAAGATTTTKATACTTTTATCGAGCTTTTTAAAAGCCTTTATAGCAACAGATTCTATTCTTAAATGTGCAGAAGCAAACTACACAGTGCATACATACATACTTCACTGAGCTGTAATGATTTCAAGGAAGCAATTCCAGATTAACATTGGTTTAAAGTTTTTGACATAGCCAGATGGAATAAACTTGATTTTCTAGAAAGCCCAAGTGCCTCTGCTTGTTCCTTCATCTCTTTCAAACCTTGTCCAAAGGTCAAACAAGTAGAAGTCTGCAATCTAACAACTATCAAAATGCTAAAGACAAGGACACAAGATGTTAAGCCACGTACAGTTTAAATATTCTACCAATGTAGTTCCTTTCACAAAGACATTCCTGGAACTATTCTGACCAAATATCTCCTCATTTTCATGTACTTCATTAAAATTGTAAATGATATACAAAACTAATGCAAAATATATCCTGCCCTCGAGTCACACTTTTCCAGTTTTACATAATATTGCTTGCAGTATCATAACACGTTGGTAGTGCTGGACATATTGTTTTTCAGGAAATGCAAAGGAATTAAATTCTGGTATAATGGTATACTTGAGTATACCATTACATTTGTAGGCTTCTTTCTAGACTGTTACCACCTTGCTTTAAATAAGAAAATGTAGCTTACTTACGAACACATCCATCAGTAGGTGTTCCAGTGTCACTTCAATATCCTCTAATTTAGCCGCTAAAGTCATCCTGCAGTCAAATGTCAGCTCCAACTGGAGAAGAGCCCTCACGAGTCCCAGTCCAGACCGCCTGTGGTCAAAGCTAATTCTCAAGCTGCAGCGAACGAGTCTCTTACAGATCAAGAAAATCAGAGAAATGACAACATAACCTCTGAATCTAGGCAGTTTTTGGAGTCAGTGCTGGCTGTCACAGCCCTGCTTGCAGGACCGAGGATTATTCCATGTGTGCAAAATGGAAGCAGAAGCTGCAGAGCGCTGCTTTCCTTTCAGAGCGTCGCAGCCAGAAACATGGAGTTATATCTGGGAAACCACAACAGAGGGAGGGAGAGACACACACAGAGGGAGAGAGAGAGGGAAGGAATGGAATAAACCGTCGCCGACTATGGCTGATATTTATAGGACTACTTGTTTTTGACTCCAGTCCATTTCTCTGTTCATTTCTGACCTTTCACAAATGGCTCGGCACACTGGAGCGTATTGTAGAACGGGGGCAGCAGGTCCCGCAGAAGTTGGCTGTGACCGGTGCTGGGCCAATTCACACAAGCACGCCATCAATAGCTCTTTGTCAGAGCATATCAGGCTCTGCACTGTAGCTGGTGACAGAGGAGAGCACAGACGTGTAAAAAACAAGGAAATGAAAGTAGTTGGGGTACTAATTTTTTCCTAAAAGAGTATTAATAGATTCCCTTACCCCCTCGCCAARGCACCAAACTAAAGCACAAGCCATGCTGATGACTGGGGTTAATTTGAAGGGGAATAACCTCAAGTGATGCTGTAGACTTTGATCTGCAAAAATCTTGGTCCCCACTCCGAAATGTCCTCCCCTTGCTCAGAACCCTTTGCCCTGCAACATCTCAGTGCSAAGTGCGAAGCATTTCCCAGGACCAAGCCCTTTCTTTTGCTGTACTTGGAAAAAGGTTAAAAGAGTAATCCTAAATGCTTGCTGTTCCTTTGCACATCTCCTCCTACTTATGTCAACGGAGAAGAGGTGAAGTTGTTGCTGCTTACTGAACACCTTTTGGCTGCACCACTCAGAGCACCTTATGTAACAGTGAGGTCATGATGGATCCAATCCAACCAAAGCTAAACTCAGTGGGGATCCTTCATGGATTTTGTTGCATTGTTGCATTGGATGGGAATTACTCTCCTTAGTTTATAGATAAGGAAACTGAGGCATAGAAAGAAGAAACAATGAAAGTCATGGTCAAGAAGGGTGCTAAATTCTCCTGAATCCTGTCTAGTTTTTGCCAAGTTCACCAAACCGCCTGGGCTTCCATGCTAACCCTGAGGTGGGAACTTGTGCATTAGTCTATGATGCTCCTATTTATTTGTTCAATAAGCATTCACAGAGTTCAAAATCTCACAGTGAAATTTTGCATTTGATATATTCCAGATGCTGGAAAACAAAACAAAACAAAACCTCAAAAACAACAACAAAAAAACACACAGAAGACTGCCCTAAAGGATTCAGAAACTGAAGAGCAGCATTATTTATAAAGGTGTGAGATGGATTGAATTGATGGAGCTTAGAAAGACCTCAAGTCATAAATTCCAACTAAATGTGCTCAGAGTTATASCTGAAATCACATTTTCAGACATCTAGCATCAGCGCCTGAATGGGAGCTGCCTCTGAAGGCAGAGCTTTACTAGACAACAACATGATAGACCATTTGGGGCACGATATGAAGGATAGATTCAATAGCAAAGAAGGGCATGTAATTCATTTTCCGAGTGGACCAACTCTCAACCATACAAGGCCCTGCATCCAATAATATCTTAGCCACTCCAGAAATAAACCAAGCAGTAGAAGTTTGCCTGCTGCAGAGAGAGTTTCTTAATCATGCAAAAGCTGCCCTTTTGTTAAGGCTTTGAAGAAGAGTATCTTTACCAATGTGATTGAAGGGGCGCTTTAATGAGCTGGATCAAAAGGCAAAGAAATATATTTAGAGGGTAATGCATTTGAAGCTGTCAAAACTCAGAGAACCATAATACAGTTTGCTGATGAGCAAGTTAGTATGCATTTCTCTTCTTTGCAAGAAGTCTGAGGTTTTCAATGGAAACAGGATTTCATGTGCACTGTTCTCTAGAAGGTAATTGCAGAGGAGCTGGTTGCTGCTCTAACCCTTAATTTCCTCATGCATTCATGGAAATTTAGAGCTCCCAGAAAGTTGCAGTTTCTACCTAAAAGAGCAGATTGGGAAAAAAGGTGACTGACTCTTATAGGTCTCCAGCTGTACTCCACAGCATGCAGTGCACAAGCTGTGTCAACAGGAGAAAACAAAGGGTCACCAGGAATGAATCTTGCATTTGTTCACGTCTAACTAATATTACTGTTCAACCAGGCTGATCAAAACAAAATCTTTACTGGAACTGAACATGTGATTTCTTCCCTCTCCCACTTCCATTTATTGCACAATGCTATCTGTTAAATGGAGAAATATGAAATTAAAGAACCTTTTCTGTAAGCCCTCTGAATGCAAAAGCACAGGGCAATCATGTCACTGTGTCCCCTGACTGTCCCTGTATCTGTATTGTACCAGCCATGGAGACAAACAAGAGACATCTTCCAGTGGCAGAATTTAGTTTCCTTGTGACAGACACTTTGACACCAACACAGGCTCATTTCTCTTCACAGAGATGAATTTCAAGATTATTTCAAAACCAATAGGGCAAATAGTGTCAGGCACAAGAGAATGGCTTCAGAGAACACATAATGGCTTTGCTGACTCCTAGTAAGGAGACATCTGCCACTACAAGTGCCACGTGCCCTACTGGCCACAGCAAGGAGGATGGATGGGTTGATGGTTTCTGACACAAGCTAAACTTTCCTGGTTTGTTTCCCATTGTAATACATGATAACAGAGATATGACACTGCAATCTATGTGATATGTCTGCTCCTAAACTCTTGCAATCACATTATTTGGTATAGCGTTTCTCTAACTTATCAATACTCAGAGATAGTAGAAATTCAGGAAAAAATTTGATTGACTGGAAAACTAATTTTCTAGGCTGATGAGACCTTTGCACCAAGCAGTATATCTCTTTTTGTTCTACCTTGAAATCACATTAAAAAATCTCAAGTTCATAGAAAACTACAATAGGAAAGATTTCTAAAGTATAGAAAATCTGCACAAGATTAGAAAAAGGATCTTTCTTTTTAGCACTAACTGAAGCAGTTGGCTTAGTTGTGGTAAAAAAACACTTAATATTTAAGAATGCCTAAAATAGTTTAAAGACTTTTTAAAAAGGCTCACTAGAGTATAGGAAGTGCAAAAAAAAATGCTAGCAGAAATCAGGATCACAGAATCACAATATCTAAACAGAAAAACTTATTCTAAAGCTTAGGGAGTTCTGAATCGCTCTTGTTGGCTCTCTCATAACTCTCAATTTAACACTGCTTACCCCATATGACCTCTTTTATGGAAATAGCCAGCTGAACACAATAAACAAGACACTAGCAGAAGATGAGTGGGTTCCCAAGGGATTCGTCCCAAGCCCTCCCTTATGTGTGCATGTATGTTAATTTTAGGTATACACAAAAATGAGTTAGCAACTGATAAGGAGAAACTAATTTTGGTGATTCTTTACTAAATCCAAACACTTTCCTTATTAAATCGTTATTTCCATCTTCCTGAATTCCTGAGAATTTATTATTTTGGCCTTTACAAGCACGAGACCTCTTCTATTTAAAGCAGAGCATCCATCTGACAACACACCAGGGTATTTCTGCAGAACAGGATGTTCTTCTACACCCACATTTTCCCTTCACTTCCTTCCTAGCTTTCTTCTATCATTTGGGAATAAGATAACAGAAGTGAGCTGAAGAATGGAGACAGTTGGAACGTTTTTGCCAAAGTGAGATTTCAGCAAAATGCACTGTTATTCAAAGCTGAAATGTTATGTGGGGACATACCGGGTCCTGGAAGAGTTTTCTCAGGAGAGTTTTAGGGATGGGGGTGGTTGGTGATAGTAGGAAAAAGTCAGTCTGCAACTGATTGGATGTGGGCCAGTTTGCAAAGATGGGATGCTAATATAGAGAGCAAAAAGCAAACTGATATAAGCTGACAAGAAAGGGTTAAACAGTGGATATGAGGGTTATTAGCTTCAGGGTGCTATGTTTGCATTGTCCCAGCTTTCAAAAATAGAAGCTGAAGAGTTTGGGAAGGAGAGCAGGCGAATTATTCTTGTATGAGGAAGAGGCATGGTTGGGTTGTGGACCAGAGAAGGAATCCTGAACTGAGATAACAAGGGAGCTAAGCCCTAGGTAAATGTGGACATGGACATGAATGAATATGAGTGAAAGTCTGTTTTGGACAATGTCTTTGCACTGCCAWCCTACAAGTATGAGATGAGGTGGCAAAGCAGCTGCAGCAAGCTGAGATTGGATTCTACCCAACTATACACCAACTTTTATGAACATCTCTACCTTAAGTAATTAGAGTGAGGATGTGAAGTAGAGCCTTTAAGTTGTCCTCTTTGGGCTCTTACACACCTCTTTTCAGGACAAATATTCTATATTGAGCAAATAGTAGATTTGCTGCAATGAAGTATGAACTGTTTATTTCAGAAAAGATGTAGATGAAAATTCCCATCCTTTAGAACATGTAATGAAAATAGAAAGAGTTTCAGAGCCCTGTGGGTCCATTTGTCCTCTGGATAAGCTTGGAGGACAGGGAAAAATCAGCTTCCAAAACCCCCCTCCACCTCCACTTTTCTTCTCACAAAAAATATGAATGTAGCAACTCATCAACTTGATGCCTTCAGGCTGGATTGCAGTAATTCACCAAATCTAGAGCTATATGTGAAGATTGCCAGGCTCCAGCTGGCCCAGGGCACAGCCATCTGCCTTCATCATGGTTCAGGGCACTGTACGTCAGCCTTGTCCTGCAGTATCGTTCAGCTGAAGGCTTTGGTGATAATTTTCCAATGAGTGGATTATCTAACGCTACATCAAAGGCTGAAGATCAGCCTGTGGCCCAGCTTCAGAACTGTGTTCCTGGATGAGATGCAACAGCTTCATCTGATGAAGGGATCCTTCTATGGAACAATGTCTCCAGAGAAGAGTCTGGTGTACCTAGAGTCTGTGCAGTCAAGGTAAGCGTGAGATCACTCTTGAGGTTCTTCAGGGATCTGGGCTGGGACGTGTGTGGT